CCATTTTATTTGCCTTTCAGATTCTATTTAGAACATCTGTTTGGGATCATTCCTAGAATCTCAGTCTTGAAGCCTCTTTAGTGTTTTCCTGGTTCTGTACCTTTGTCCCAACTTGTATTTCCTTTTTTCTCATTTTGGGAACTACCAGAATCTCTGAGGACAACCTGAGGATGATACCTCAGGTTTTAAAGTCCTTCTTGCTCACGGGCCCCAGACAGATGCTGTCAGGTAGACATAGGAGTTCACAGAAGTTCTTGCCTGCTTCATCTGAGGATATCACTTCTGAAGTGATCTAGGCATGTTTGGTAAAGATGTTTTGTGGGAGTTGTTTCTTTTTCCTAAGAAAGCATTATGCAAAAAGTCACTTTAAAGGGCATTTTAAAATAAAGCCGTCTTTGGCTTTTACAGACAACTTTGTGGGTACTTAGTTTACATTGTATTAAAATATGCATCATCATGTTGACTATTCAGTCCTGTAGGCACCCAGGCCCCAGCTGTCCTATGGGTCCTCACATAAAGCAATGCCATGTCAGCCCTTGTGGATAGGTGGGTAAAACCTGGAGCTGACTTTCATCTGTGTCCTGCACTCCCGTCCAGCGCTATTAAATAGTCGTCATTTCTTCAGTGGCAGTGTGTCTAAATAGTGATGGTCGTAATGGTGAATGACTAGTATGGTTTTTGTTTAATATTGCTTTGCTTTTTGATAGTAGACAACATGAAATTTTATTTGTTTTAGCACCATTGCAACTTATAGCATCGTGGACTTTGTTTTCCATTCCAAACTAAAAGATCAAGGCATGTATTAGACATAAGTGTATTTGTTGCCTCAACTCACCCAACATCCATATTAGAAAAAGACCTGCCACCAAAGCAGGAAGCTGCACACTCCTAACCTTTCTCCCAGGGATTGGGGTCCCTTGACGCCATGGAGAGCTATTGCAAGGTGCTTCTGTACTTTTCTAGCCTGGAAATGGAAGATGACTGAGCCTGGTTTTTGCTATGAAAAGAAAACCAGCCTCATCTTCTCAATGCCCCAGAGATCTAGGACAGGATTTCTAAACTGGAATCATCCTTATTATCTTGAATATCCCCCAAGAGGTGTATGGCTGGTACTGCCATCTGTGTCCTCACAGTAACACTGGTGGCAGCATACTGCATACACATGGAGAACTAATACCCAGCCCTTAACTCAAGCTGGTAACCCAAACTGAAAACTGGGGAACTGGTCCTTAAATGTTTTCTAATTAATAAGGCCACGGAATTGTTTGATGTTTATGTTTTGTTGGATTTTGGTTTCCTGGCATAGCTAAAGGTGCCTTTTTTGTTTGTTACCTACTTTATTTTGTAGAACTTGTTCTAAACATGGAAAACAAGTCCAGAAGGCTCACCCACTGACTGTTACCTTTGCCCCAGGCTACCCCAAAATTTATGCTCACATTTTATTAAATAAAGCAGGTGCTCCCTGGAATCTCTGGGACCTTTTTGAGGCATTTGAAGCAGAATATAAAGAGTGGTCTCATCTCCTTCCTTAATCTTCCTGGTGGTTGGGATGTTCCACTTGTATCATAGATTTTTTTTTATTACTGATGTGCTCCGCTGTTTTTAAATGTGAACTTGTGCGCAAATGTGCAGATTCAATGTTCTTGTTACAGATTGAATAAATTTTTATTTTGAAGATGAAATGTGTATTCAATTAAGTGTTATAAAGGAGGGGGGATGCTGAGAAAGGTGGAAGGGTTGGAAGAAGAGGACACCAAGAACAGGTGCTCTTGATCTCAGTCAGGCACACCCTAAAGAGATCTAAAGTAAAGAACGTAACCTTCTACCTTTCACAAAATAGAAGACTGGATAGGAAATAGAATCACTAAAAATTGTTAAGACAAGCCAGACACAGGGGTTCACTTATGTAATCCCAGTAACTTGGTAGGCTGAGAAAGGAGGATCACAAGCATGAGGCCAGTGTCAGCAACTTGGTAAGACTCTTGTCTCAAAAAAAAAAAAAAAAAAGTGGTGGGGTGGGGCTGGGAATGTAGCTCAGTGGTAAAGCACCCCTAGGTTCAATCCCCAGAACAGAGGGAAAAAAAAAAAATGGTTTCAGACAGTATGACTCCAGTCAAGTGACCAAACTGGGAACTTGCCTGGTCAAAGACATTTGCCAAAGCTACCACCTGAATGTTAGCAGAATGAATAAGCAAAGGGACCAAAATTCTTCCACCCTCTGTGGTGCAGAGTGACTGGTTAGGGACAGCTGCAGTGACCTGCCCTAGCAGAGGCAGAATTTGGGTGAGTGACCTCTCTATAGACATTAATGAGAGAGCTAACATGCTTTTAGCACAAGCTCACTGAAAGCAAGGAGACATGAGTTTCCAAAGAAGTAAAAACTTTAACTCTCCCACCATAGAAGAGAAATATTTGATGTCAGTGACGTAGGGAGAAGACAGAGCCTAAGAGCAATTCTAACAAATGAGCTGGGGGTTGGGTGTCTCCTTTCCCACCTCTCCACAGACCCATCACAGAGATATTTAGTGATGCTATTCATCACTACAAGAGAGTACAACCATCTAGAGAGAGCTCAGTTCTCAGGCCCCAGCCAAATTGGCTGAAGCTTCCAGAGAAAACACTGCTGAACTAAACTTCATTCTGAATAGTGTATGTCAAGTGGGAGGGGCACACCACTGGTTTCTAAGAGAGTACAGATCTGAAACCTCAAATCTTGCAAAATATCCCCCGTAGAAGATCAGAGAACTCACAACTTGGAACATAGTAAAAGATAAGTTCACTTCACTAAATGTTCTAAGAACACTTGGGGTCCCTAACCAGTCTAATAAGCTAATCTTGGCGTTCTAGCTGAAGCAAGTGGACGAAATCAGAGCTAAATTTCCAGGCCACTTCTTCCAGAAAATGACTTCATGAGATGAAATCCCAGCCTGTCTCTGTGGACTGCAGTTCAGAACCCATCTGGGAGGGGAGGTACCAAGCCCAAACGGCTTCTTCCACTGATTAGTTCTTCAGGCCTTGGCTCCACTCACCCACAGCTCGACCAGACCTTGGCAACCTTCAGAAGGCTGGAGGGCTGGATTGAGCCAGCCAGGATCAAGCAAATACCTGTGAATCCTTGCTGCTGTTATCAGAGCACCCCCTCTTCCCAGGTAATGAAACTGAAGGCAAGATGGACTAAGATCCCTGCTTCCTAGTCCCATACCCTTCCCTCTAGAAGGGAGTCCCCCCAGCTGTCTTTTTTTTTTTTTTAATTTCAAGAAGCACATATCCTAAAGAAGCATTAGGATAAGTATAGTATGACTCCCATAGGTTTTTTTTTTTTTTTAAGAGAGAGTGAGAGAGGAGAGAGAGAGAGAATTTTAATATTTATTTTTTAGTTATCGGCGGACACAACATCTTTGTTTGTATGTGGTGCTGAGGATCGAACCCGGGCCGCACGCATGCCAGGCGAGCGCGCTACCGCTTGAGCCACATCCCCAGCCCCCCCCCCCCAGCTGTCTTGAAAGTAGAAAGAGGGGGTAGGGTGCCATTTCAGAATAGGAGACAGACGTCAAATCTCTTCTCTGCCAACAAATGGTGCAGAGCTAGAACTCCACCCAGTCTGCTTCATTTTATAGCCCAGAGAGCTGCAAAAATATGGCTGAGCCAGGATTGCCACCTCAGTTTTCTAATTAGTCCAGGCAATCCTTCCTCTGCATTGTGCAGCATCAGATCCTTAAAGATTCTTGAGATAAAGTGGCACTGCCCTTTAAGGTGAGGCAGAAATGCATACTGTTGAAAAGCATGGGCCCATATGTCAGACCCTGGGGCAAGAACCTCAGCTTCACTAACCACCATTAAGTGATGGGTAAGCTTCTTAACTTCTTTGTGCCTCAGTTTCCTCATCTGTAAAATAGGGATAATCACAGTGCCATCTCAGAAGCTTGTTACCAGAATGTTATTAAAATGTGTAAAGCCCCTAGAACAGTGCCTAGCTCATGGTGTGTATTATTGATATCACAATATCAATAATTGAGTCACTCTGGTCTTTTCCTCCTATACATGTACCTGGAATCATTTTAGGTAAAAGAGAGACTCCTCATCCATCCTCATAGTCCCCTATGCCATGAATTATTTCTGGAGCATCTGTGACAGTTTCTGATTCTGTTCCCCTATGAGCTACTGAACACCTGGACTCATCCTGAAAAACAAAGGAGCCTTGTGGTGACCCTCATGGTTTCCATCACCTTCATTCCTCCTCTGCCCAGTCCTCTGCCTTCCAGAAGGTTGAATGCTGCTGATTCCAGGTGTCCAGGCCCCAACCAAATTTGCTGAAGCTTCCAGAGAAATCACTGCTGAACTAAACTCCGCGTGCTAAAGTGGGAAATAATGTTTATCTCCTCCTTGACCTTGGTAAATAGATCTGTGGGTCCTGGGGGAGTGGGAGGAGGCTTCCCTGGAACACAGTTGGCGCCAGCTCATGCGAGGTCCATAGGACATTAAGAGGCTAAGCACCAGCCTCTGAGGTGGCTACTCTGACCTTTGAATGTGGTGTTGGAGGGATGGACACCGGTCTCTAAGCTGCTTCCTGCCCTGCTCCATGGAATTGTCTCTAATGGGCGAAATGTCTAACGCTATGCCATTGTCTTAGGTTTTCAAATGATCACTATCGCTATCATTAACAGCAACATTCACAGTCCCTGATAAGGTACCCTCTCTGTTGCCCCGGGCCAGTCTAGGCTTTTATCCAAAAACTGAGATTCCCACAGAGCATCTTCTGGGGACTCTTCCCTGCGGGACCTGGACGTGCAGTCCCGCAATTTCGGCCCGCAGGACAGGTTAAATTACGAGAGTGACTGTGGCAGGAATGCGGCACGAAGGCACCTGGCCTCGTGCGCTACCTACTCTCGGGGCGCGCGCCCACTCGCGAGTTCCCTCCCTGGGTCTGAGGACCAGCCTACCTGGGAAGCGCGGAGGGTAGGGTAGGAGCTCGCGCAACCCGCACACCCACGAACACTTACTTTCGACGTTCTTCCGAGGCCCACAGACCCTCGGCTGGAAGTCGGAGGCGCTCCCCTTTCCCGCCGCTAAAGAGGGCGGGGCAGTTTGGGCCCTAGCCCCGCCCCCGCCCCGCCCAAGGCCCCGCCCACTCAGGTTGATGGCAGCGGCAGCTGGGACTGCAGCGGACCGCGGCCCTGGAGAGCCTCGGGCAGCGGCCCGAGCGCGCAGCCTGACACCCGGGCCCCAGACACCCAGAGAGGCAGTTCCGGCGCCCTGACGCCTTCCTCAGCCCCCGGCGAACCACGGCCCGTTTGGCGGAGGAGTCGCAGCGTGGGCACCCCGCAGCCCGGCTCGGGACCAGGTACACCCCCACCACCGGCAACCGCAGCCAGCGGAGCGGGCGGGGTCTCTGGAGAGACAAAGGTCTGCGCCCCCTCCCCCAGCCGCCAAATTCGGTCCCAGGCTGGGCGGACTTCGTGTCTATATTTGGCCGGACCGAGGCTCGCGCGCAGACACCTTTCACAAGAACGCAGTGCTGGGGCCGGAGGCAGGAGGAGGGTGCGGGGAGGCCGGGCCATAGGCCTGGGCCGCAGAAGTGTTTTGAAGGGCACAGGGATGCTCCGGGCTGTGAAAGGGCAGGAGTCAATGCCCCTTCGGGAGAGCTTGGTGTGCCCTTCAGGAAGAGTAGCATAGCATAGGCACTGGCTCATCACTCTCCCCACCCCTACAAATCTGGTCCTGCCACCTAGGGACCCCACCCCGATGCGAGTTTACTAGGAGGAAGGCCCAAGATAGGACAGAGAACCCCAAAAAGAAACTGGACCAAAGTGTGGTAGGCAAAAGCCAGAAGACATGTTTCCGGCCTCTTGAAGAAGCAAGTGCAGACAGGAATGGAAGGGGGAGAGGTCCACCTTACACTATGCCCACCCTCCCAATAGCATGAGAGGAAACTGATGAAAAAATGGTAGCAGGAAGGACTCAAGTTGGCTGATAGGAGGAACTTCTTGGCAAATTTAAGAATAAAGCAAAACCCCATTTTCCTGAGATGCAAGCTTGGATCTGGGGTGGGGTGGGGGAGCCTGCAATCCTAGTCCCATACTAGCCTTGACACAAGATCCAGTGGCCACCAGGCGCAGGGGTTCACCTTGTAATCCTAATGACTCAGGAGGCTGAGGCAGGAATATGACAAGTTTGAGGTCAGTCTCAGCAACTTAATGAGGCGTTGTCTCAAAATAAAAAATACAAAGACTGGGGATGTAATTGAGTGGTCATGTGTCCCTGAGTTGGATCCCAGGTAACAAAACAAAAAATCCAATGGCCAAGCTCTGTGATTCCAGACAGGATGCCTCTAGGAGATACAGTGACTTCCGTGAAGAGATGTTCATTCAAGGAGGATCACCTGGCTCTTCACAACACCATTCTCCCTTACAAAGAGTATCTGGCTTGGGTCTCTAGTCAGGTCCCAAATCCTAGCTCTTTAGATTAAATAGCACTTGACAGGTGGCAAAGAACCGTCCTATACTTTGATCACTTTGAAGAAAGTTGCTTCCAGAAGCCAACTCCTGGCCAACTACCCCTTCTCACTTACTGTTCTCTCCACTCCTCCTCCCTTCCACAGCTCACAGGACTAAGGACCAAAAGCACTCTGGGCACTGAGATCCTCCATCTCGGCCCCAGCCATGAGCCGGCGTGTGGTTCGGCAGAGCAAGTTCCGCCATGTGTTTGGGCAGGCAGCAAAGGCTGACCAGGCCTACGAGGACATCCGTGTGTCCAAGGTTACATGGGACAGCTCCTTCTGTGCTGTCAACCCCAAATTCTTGGCCATTATCGTGGAGGCTGGAGGCGGAGGTGCCTTTATTGTCCTGCCTCTGGCCAAGGTGAGGGATGAGGGGAAGGAAGCAAGTGGGACAATACTAGTTGGGGCCCCTGGGGATTCCTGACAGCAGCCTGCATTCTCACCTTAGTTCCATTCCTTAGTCAGGAGGACAGTTTGTGTGGACTGACTGCTTGCTCTTCTGTAAGCCTTCAGGAACCAGTGGGGAGACTCCCTCACCCACTCTGAGCAACAGTGTCACAGGGACCTACATCCGCTCCTTAGCCCATTCACCTCTGCATGCAGCATCCTGTTCCAGCAGGAACCAGGACAGGGAGTCTGGTGATAGAAATGATTGGGATGCACTGGAGCCAAGGCATGGCCAGATTTTGTCCTTGGGTCTCCTAATGTCATGCCACTCCCCCATATTTTGGACTGGAGACCCTAGTCCCTAGTTCAGGGTGACTGATTAAATCTCAGAGTAGCACACTGAGGACAGGGTCAGGCTCTGTCCAAATAGTCCCTGGGTACCTACCCCACCACTATGGTTCTTACACTGAGGTAGAATGACAGCAAAGCATAGGGGGACATAAAACATAAGGTCAGAGCCCACCCGATCCTAGGGAAGGGAGCTAGGTAATGACTGACCTTTGCTGACCCTTCACCATCTCTAGCCCCAGAATGGGCACCCCAACACATGACCTTGACCTGGGTTCTGGCCCCTATACCTTGTTGGGGAGGCCCCTTAAGTGGCAGGGTGGGGCCTGACAATAGCTGGTGACTCACCCCTGACAATGCAGACACCATCCAGAGACACCATCCCCAGGGATCAAATTTCAGCTAGAGCTGCCTCCTCCCCCAGTCTCACTGCCATTTCAGTGCCACATAGCCACCTCTCTCCCCTACTGCCTAGTCTGGGCCAATGCTGGCCCCAGCAGAGGTCTCAGAGCTGCTACAAGTAGTCTATGAAGACCCAAAACAGGTGGGCCCCCAGCCCCAGTTTGGGAATAGTAAGCATCAGGATTGTCTACTTCTTGTGGACCCAAGGTAAAGCCAGTGACAGGAAGAGATCTGCCAAGGCTGGCTTGGGACACTGCACTAAATACTACCTCACCTTAATCTCTTCTACCCAGGGCTTCCCACAGATATTCCAACTGGGGAACAAGCTCAAGAATAGTCTCTTCCAACTAGATATCCTTTGAACAGCACTGGACTGAGAATGCTGGGCTCTACCAGTACCTTGCTATGGGTCCTTGGTTAAGACATCTTACCTCAGTGTTAGATTCCCTAATATTAAATAATTTCAACTCTACCTGCCTTCAGCATTCCAGGAAGTAGACTGGACAGGGTGGAGATACAGAGAGCAGTCTACAAAGAGAAAGCAGATGATGGAAAATTGAGATGTAAACAGATTCTCTACTCCAAAAAAATACACAGGACAGGCTGGGTGGGGATGTAGTCCAATGGTAGAGCGATTGCCTGGAATGTGTAAGGTCCTGGGTTTGATCCCCAGTACCACACACACCAAAAAAAAAATTGACAAAAAAACACAGGTGAGTGGCCCCCACATCTCCTTTCTCTAACCACTCCAGACAGGAAGAGTGGATAAGAACTACCCGCTGGTCACTGGACACACTGCTCCTGTGTTGGATATAGACTGGTGCCCACACAATGACAACGTCATCGCCAGTGCCTCAGATGACACCACCATCATGGTAGGAGCCAGATGGATGCAGCTGGGCAGTTGGGCAGGGGAACAGGGAGAGCTGCTTCACCTGTGCTAGGGAAGGTGATAAGGAGGTGCAGAGTCCCAGATCCCTGCCCAGCTCCCAGGCTATTTTTAGCTACCTGCCCACTCCCTCCCAGGATGCACTGCTCAAGACTAATTATAGCCATGAACAACTTGGGGCCCAAAGAGCAGGGGGCAATGCTCTGAAGTCTCTCTGCTAGAGTGAATGAAGTCTCTGGAGAGCTGACAGTGCCCCCTCCTGGTTTCCAGATGCTTCTGCCCCAGACAGACACCACCACATCTTGCCCTGTATTTGACCCTTCCCACTAAAGAGAGCCAGTTAAGTGGAGGCAGGGGAGGAGAGAAGGATCAGAGTTGGCTACCTTTATTTTTTTCTCCTACCCAGGTGTGGCAGATTCCAGACTATACCCCTGTGCGCAACATTACAGAACCTATCATCACACTTGAGGGTCACTCCAAGCGTGTGGGCATTCTCTCCTGGCACCCTACAGCCAGGAACGTCCTGCTCAGTGCAGGTCTGAGGGCCTAAGGAGGGTTCTTACTGTAGATGAGAGTCAGGGGGACAAAGGCAGGTACCAGGTGACCATGCCTGTCTACTCTGGACAGGTGGTGACAATGTGATCATCATCTGGAATGTGGGCACTGGGGAGGTGCTGCTGAGCCTGGACGAAGTGCACCCAGATGTCATACACAGTGTGTGCTGGAATAGCAATGGTAGCCTGTTAGCCACCACCTGCAAAGACAAGACCCTGCGCATCATTGATCCCCGAAAGGGCCAAGTGGTGGCGGTGAGTGCTTGGCCTGGCCACTCTCTAGCAGCCTATCCCAGTAACCAGCTGTTAGCACCCTATGCCCACAATCATCAGAGCTGCTAGTCCCAGCTTTCACCTGCCCCATCCCTACCCCACTAGCCTAAAGACTAGTCGTCCCCACCCCCACCTCCCCACCCATTCCCCCGCCCCTGCAACCAGAGCTCCCTTCCTAAGAAAGCCCCCAGCCTGCAATTCTCTGCCCTGGTTCCTGTTCCCTCCCCTCCCCTGCATCTCAGAAGCTCAGAGAAGGGCTCCTTGCTTTGAGATTGAGGGGAGAAGCTGGAAACTACATCCTCCCACCAGAACCTGCATGAAACCTGAGCTCCGGGACCCTCTCCTCTCTGCCGAGGACCCTCTCTCCACCATCTTCCAGGGTCTGGGGCCTGCCCATTGAATGGAGGACTGGCCCCTTGCCGCCTTTGTTGACCTGCTGGGCGGGGAATGGGGGCAACCCTCGCGCGTTGCTTGTCGCAGCTGGGTGCCCTGGGAGGTCAGCGGTCTTCGCCCATCCTCAATATAATCTGGAGTGTGGGGTGCATGGGGCGCGTGCAGGTCTGGGTAAAGCACGCTAGTCTAACGCGGCGGGGACAGTGAGTGGGCGGGCGCTCTAACCCACTAACCCCGCAAGCAGGAGCGAGCCCGACCTCACGAGGGCGCCCGCCCACTGCGGGCCGTCTTCATCGCTGACGGAAAGCTGCTCAGCACCGGCT